CAAGTCCTGCCAGCAGCACAAGGATATGTCTCGCCAGGAGCGTATTGCGAAGCCAAAAGTAGCTTGTACGTGTATTGAGGAATCGAGATGTACTTGATCCAGCCCACGAATCCAGGCACGTGCTGAGCATAGTAGCCGCTGGACAATAGGGACGTGAGCATGATGACCGACCCAAGCGTGATGGCCGATTTGGAGTCCATGACGACTGCACCAAGGGCAAGACCGAGCCCTTGAGTGCACATCACGCTGTATAAAAGAACGAGTAGGCCCAATAAAAAGGATCCTATTTTGGCCTTGAGACCCGCCATCCAATACGTTATGGTGTAGGCTACGGCGGGAAGGACTAACTCCATCGGTAGGTCACCAAGAGTCCGAGCCATGAAGTAGGATGACAATCGGTACATGCCCGAAGACCTTTCCTTGGAGAGTATCGTGCATTCTTGAGGGAAAGTGAAAATGGCTTGAAATAAAGGGTAGAAGCCCCAAAACGACGAGTAGAAGAAGAAAAGCCCGACCTACACATCATTCACAGTTTAAACACATGATCACTCGAAAGGTTGGATTGTAAATGGCCTAGATGCACAGTTTTGTTAAATTGTATTTAATTAAGATTCGACCTGGTCTTGTAAGTGACTGGTGTTGGATTGCCACCAGATTAGACCGCTCATGATAGCTACGACAAGAACCTCAATGACCTTGAGAATAGAAAACGAGTCGTGCCTCCTTTCTTTGATCCCCCTTGTAAACAGCACTGAGAATTGTAACCACCAATTGTTGGGCCACCGCGTACTTGGCTCCTTTCGTGAGAAATGCAAACTACTGCCATCATCTGCACCATTTATTTCCGATTTTACGCTACCCGAGAGATTTGTCACGTAAGCCGCCACCAACGTGTTTTGAATCTCAGCTCGACCCTCGTCCGAATCCACAGTCGTTGAAATACCTAAAGGACAACGAGAAAGTAACTTAGTAAAGGAAATGAATATAGATAGACTCTCATACTCGGCACTCACCATTCGCAAGATCCAACAAGAAGTCAGCAGGATTCATGGCGACCGTTGGGGCGAACCCGATTCCAGAGAAATAACCGAGTGCGGCTGAGCCCTGCCCGAAGAACAGAGGACTCCCATCGCACAACAAAAGAACCTTATCAAACTCGTAGAAGATCCTACTAGACGGCTGGTGGATCGTCATCACAACTGTCCTCCCCCCGTCAGCCAGCCCGCGCAGGGTCGACACGAGCCTCGACGCGTTGGTTGAGTCGAGCCCGGACGTGGGCTCGTCGAGCAGCAGCAGGCCCGGGTTCACGAGCATCTCCTGCCCGATGCTCACCCGCTTCCTCTCCCCGCCGGACACGCCCCTCATGAGCGGGCCCCCCACGATGCTGTCCCA